AGGGATTGCATTGAATCTATAGATGGCTTTAGGAAGTATGGACATCTTAACTATGTTAATTCTTCCAATCCAAGAGCACGGAATATCTTTCCATTGATTCATTCATTTTTGAGGTTTGAAGCAAGTGTGCATCCCTGGGATTAACACCACTTTGTTGTATTGCGTTATCTTTTTCCTATATTGCTGGGTTTGATTTGATAGTGTTTTCTTGAGGATTTTGCATCTGTATTCATGAGGAATACTGGTCTGTAATTTTTCTTATAATATCTGTCTAGTTTTAATAAGAGGGTAATGCTGGCTTCATATGAATTGGGATCTGTTCCGTCCTTTTCTGTTTTTCTTGAAGATTTTGTATAAAATTGGTATTATTCCTTTGTAAATATTTGGTAGAATTTGCCAGTGAAGCCATCTGGGGCTGAAGTTTGTTTTTTGTTTCATTTTGAAGGAAAGTTTTTATGTAAAATCATTTTCTTTAATAGGCATGGGACTGTTCAGCTTATCTCTTTCTTTGAGAGAGCTTCAGGGAACTAGCTTTTGGTTTGGGGAGAGTTTTGTGGATTTTCTTGTTTTTTCTTTTGCTGTTTTTCTGTTCTGAATCTCACTGATTTATCGTTATTCTCTCCTTTCTTCAGCTTGCTTTGGGAGTAATTTGCCTTTCTTTTTCCTCTTAGGTTGTTAATTTGAGATCGTTCTTTTCGAATTCAAGCATTTAGTCCTTTAAATTTTACTCTTGAGTACGCTTTGATTGCATCCTACAGGTTTTTACAAGTTGTCTTTTCATTTTCATTCTGTTCAAAATGTGTTTTAATGTCCCTTGTGACTTCCTCTTTAAACGATGGGTTATTTAGAAGTCTAATACTTAATTTCCAAATATTTGTGGGTTTTCCAAATATTGCTAATTTTTAATTTAATTCTGTTATGAACAAAGGACCTACTTTGTGTGATTTACATTCTTTTAAACTTTGTAAGCTTTGTTTTTTGGCCCAGAAGGTGGTCTATCTTGGTAAATATCCTGTTGGCACTTAAAAAGAATGTGTACTCTGCTGTTGTTGGATGGAAAGTTCTGTAAATCTCAGTAAGGTCAAGTTGGTGGATAACATTCTTCATATCTTCTATATCTTGATTTTCTGTCTATTTCTATTGATTACTGAGAAAGCAGTGTTGACATCTTTAATTGTAATTGTGGATTTGTCTATTTTTCCTTTGAGTTCTATCAGTTTTTGCTGCATGTATTCTGAAACTGTTGTTCAGTGCATAGATTTTTGTCTTCTTGGTAAATTGGTCCCTTTATTAATACTTAATGTCCTTAGTATTATTTAATGTTCCTTGTTCTGAAGTGTGCTTTGCCCAATATTAATATGGCTGCTCCAGCTTTCATTTGATTCATTGTAGCATGGTATAACTTTTCCGTTCTTTTACTTTTAACCTATTTGTGTCTTTACATTTAAATTGGATTTCTTATAGGCAACATATGATTGTGTTTTATCTTTTTATACAATTTGACAATCTCTGGTTTTTATTGGGATGTTTAGACCATTTGTATTTAATGTGATTACTAGTAGGGCAGGTATAAATCTGTCATCTTTCTATTTGTCCAATCAATTCGTTGTTCAATTTTCCTCTTTTTCTGCCTTCATTTGTAATAATTGAATGTCGTTTATGATTCTGTCTTACCTCCTTTGTTGGCCTAGTAGCTAGACTTCTATTTTTAAGGGTTTAGAGTATATAGTATACATCTTTCACTTGTCAGAGTCTACCTTCGAGTAATACAGCACTTCGTGCATAGTGCTATAACACAGTAACAGCATACCTGTGTTTCTCCTTTCCTGGCCTTTGTGCTATTGTTGTCATATATTTTATTTCTGTGTATGTTATAAATTACTCAATACATTGTTATTATTTTTCCTTTAAGCAGTTATATTTTAAAGATATTGTAAAAATAAAGGGAAAAATATTTCTGCTTATCCACATGTTAGCCATTTCCAGTGCTCTTCATTCCTTTGTGTGGATCCTGATTACTATCTGCTGTCATTGTCCTTCTGCCTGAAAAACATCCCTTTAACATTTCTTGTATTGTACATCTGGTGTTGATGAATTCTTTCAGGTTTTGTATGTCTAAAAAAGTCTTTGTTTTCGTTTTTTGAAGGATACTTTCACTGGGTATAGAATTACAACGTGACAAGTTTTTTTCTTTCAGGGCTTTAAAGATGTTGCCCCACTGTCTTCTGGCTTACCTCATTTCTGACAGAAATATGCTATCAATCTTATCTTTTTGCCTCTCTACCTAATGGTGTGCCTGCATGTATTTGTCTCCATCTTTCTTTTGCTTGGAGTTTATTGAGCTTCTCAGATCTGTGAATTTATAGTTTTCATCAAATTTGAAAATTTTTTATCCATTATTTCCTTAAATATATTTTTTGTTCCTCTGTCTCACCTCTCGTTTTGGGGCCTCCAATTATACTTACATTGGGCTTCTTGAAATTGTCCCTGAGCTCAGTCATGCTCTGTTCTTTTTTTTTTTTTTCTTTTTTAAGTCTTTTTTGGTTTTCATTTTGGATAGTTTCTATTGCTGTGTCTTCAAGTTTATAAATCTTTTCTGCTGCAGTGTCTAATCTGGTGATAGTACCATCCAGTGTATTTTTCATTTCAGACTTTTTTTTCATCTCTAGAAGTTCTATTTAGGTCCTTTTATATTTTCCTCCACATTCTGGTACATATGGAATATCGTTATAACAGTTGTTTTAACATCCTTGTCTACTGATTCTATCATCTGTGTCATTTCTGGGTCTGTTATTATTGATTGGGTTTTTTTCTCTTCATTATGGGTCACATTTTCCTGTTTCTTTGTGTGCCTGGTAGTTTCTTATTGGATACCACATACGGTGAATTTTACCGTGTTAGTGCTGGATATGTTTATAATCCTTCAAATATTCTTGAGCTTTGTTCTTATCCCACTTTACAGATGAGAAAACAGGCACAAAGAAGTTAAGAATAGCTAGACTTCTAGGCATTATCTAGGCAGAGAAATTTGGAGAAAGTGTGCTAGTGATAAAGAGAACAGAATCTGCAGGAGTAAAAGAGTAATCACAGAGTAATGAGAGCTTATGGTACTTGCAGAGAAAGCTGATATTTCAGTAAAGTGTGGCCAAGGAGAGGAGATGAAGCTGGAAAGTAAGTCAGAGGCCAGACCAGGAAGGGCTTCATACTTTTTATTTTGTAGGTCATGGGGTGCCAAGTCAGATTTGTGTTTTAAAATTTATTCCTCTGGTGATGGAGTAGAGGATGAATTAAAGTAGGCAGCTTAGAGGAAACTGAACCCATTTCTAAATTCTTAGTTCTTGTTTTTCAACTTCTTTTTGGTTTTAGGTTGTGGATCTGTGTTGAACATAAATGGTGAAGTTGAAATGGATGCTAGTATCATGAATGGAAAAGACCTGTCTGCAGGAGCCGTGTCTGCAGTCCGCTGTGTAGCAAATCCCATTAAACTTGCACGGCTCGTTATGGAAAAGGTATATGTGGTAATAAAGCATCCTTTTCCTAAGGAATGTTACTTGTGTACTTCAGTGACTACAAGGGGTCTGACTATAGGGAAATACTTGAGATCACTGTTCTCCTAAAATTATATACAAGAACGGAAGCAATGTTATTTAAGTTTCTCAAATAAACTAAGATTCTAACTTTGTTGACAGTGTAATTTGACTAGTAATTGTTTAACCAGTGATTACTTTTTCATGTTATCTTGCTGTATTTTCTTCAGCCTTCTCTCAACACATATAACACATACAAACTGAACAGACCCATTCTCGAATAGCATGTGCTAAATAAAAATGGGTTAAGTTCCCTAACTTCAAGATCATATGTTAGTCGCATTCCTAGTAATAGTCTATCATTTTTGAGTTCTTTTGAAAATACAAAAACTCAGAGAGCCAGGCTCTTTTCAACATCCAGAAAAGCAAGCCAGTGAAATTTGCATTTTTGAGGCATTGTGGTCAGAGAGAAGTAATTATTTCTACACGGTTAGACCAGTTAACAAGATTTTAACGTTTTCAAAAAACTAACCATTTTTCCATTTCTTTCTGTCTCAAGACACCGCATTGCTTTCTCACTGACCAAGGGGCAGCAAAGTTTGCAGCAGCCATGGGGATTCCAGAGGTTCCTGGAAAGCAGCTGGTAACAGAGAGAAACATAAAACTCCTAGAAAAGGAGAAGCATGAGAAAGATGCTCAGAAATTAGACTCTCACAAGTAAGTGTCATCTGTGGCTCATGTTTTTTGGGATTCATTCAAGTGTGAAAGTTCGACAAATATCTGATTATACACAAGAAATAAGTCTAATATCACTTGGTAGTTTCAGTTTTCATACAAAATAATTCACTCTAAATAGTGAAAAACTACTCTTTTGATTCTCAAATTTAACCTCATTTATTATTCCTATGAATAGTAACTCAGATTAGGCTTCGTTCCTTCTCCAGTATGATTTAATAGGAGAATGCCTTGTCTTAATGTATTAACTATCTGGATGCTTCTAGATCAGTTTGTTATCTTAAGTACAGGAGTCCCCCATTATCTACAATTTCGCTATCCGTAGTGTCAGCCACCCCCAGTCAACCAAAGTCTGAAAATATCAAATGGAAAATTCAAGAAATAAACAATTTGTAGGTTTAACTTGCTCTCTGTTCTGAGTAGTGTGAGGAAATCTCTTGGCATCCCACTCTGTCCTGCCGCAGAGGTGATTCATCCCTTTGTTCATTATCTCTACCCTGTGTACACTATCCACCCGTTAGCCTCTTAGTAGCTGTCTCGGTTATCAGAATGACAATCATGATATTGCAGTGCTTGTGTTCAAGTAATCTTCATTTTAATAATGGCGCCAAAGCCAACCTTATTACTAATTATTGTTGTTGATCTCTTACTATAACTAATTTTATAAATTAAACTTTATCATAGGTATGTTTGTGTAGGAAAAAACATAGCATATAGGGTTCAGTACTATTTGCAGTTTCAGATATACACTGGGGTCTTGGACCGTATCCCCCACAGATAAGGGGGAGCTACTGTAGGCTAAACAGGTTCTCTGTGATCTAGTGTACCCTGTGAACTTACTTAAGCACTCTTTCATAGCGCAGAGAAATCAGTACAACTCTTATAAGTTTGAATTATGGTTTTCTTTGTTACAGATTTCAAAATCCCAAATAAAAGCCCCCCTTATTTAAAGCAAAATTTAAAAAATAAAATTTGAATATGGCCTGGGAGTTTATAATGGCATATAATCTATTGACTCTGCATACTTTTTTAGATTTGTAATATCTAAAAAGCTCCTAGGGAGCTTTTTCAAAATATACCTATCTGAGCCCCTTCCCTAAGGAATCTAATTTAATAGATCTGAGGTAGAGAGGCCAGGCAGGTGTATTAGGAAAAAGTTTCCCAGGTAATACTGATGTGTCCCCAGGTTAAGAATCTGTTTTATAAGATTGGCCATATGTTGATAGCTGTTGATAACCTTACCAAGTGTGCTATTGTGCCTATAGGCTAGAGTCACAGGAATGGGGTTGCTTTGTCAATGGTTCATGTACACTTTTATAGATCTTGCCACATTGCTTTCCAAAAGTTCTGCAAAAACACGCATCTCCACCAGCCAGTACTGCTTTTAGATATGAGCAAGAGGGGCTGCTGCCCTGAGCCTTGCACTTAAGAGGACCCTCATATCACAAAACAGTTGGTTTATTACAGACACATGGGGCACCTCTGTCACTCAGCAGTGGCGCAGCATGACCTGTAACCCTCACCATCCGCTCTTGTGACTAACATCATTCAGCCCCCAGCAAAATGCTTCTCTGCATCTCCTGCTCTATGTCTGGGAAGCAAAGGGCACCTGAGTCTAAAGGTTCATGGATTGTGCTCCTGCTGACGTCAGAAATGGACGCTGCTTTGGAGTGTGGGGAAGAATCGAACAGCAGAAGGACTTAGGGAAGAGAAAAAGACAAATTAATAACTTGTCAAATAAATTCTTGCATGACTAAGTATTGTCTCCCAGTAGTGCCCAGTGTCCATTTTCTGTACGTTTCAATTTGTGCTTCTGGAGGTATTTGTGAATTAGTATAGTATCTGCAAGACTTGCATGTGAGGGCTGATTCCTCCTACTCTTAAATTTGTATGTATGTTGGTCTAGACCAGCACTGTCCAATAGAAATACGAGAGCCACATAGGTAATTTAAAAATTTTCTAATTGCCACGTTAAAAAAAAAATAAACAGGTGCTGGCCCAGTGGCATAGCAGTTAAGTTCCCGCAGTCTGCTTTGGCGACCCAGGAGTCGCAGGTTCGGATCCCAGGGTCAGACCTGTGCAGCGCTCATTAAGCTATGCTGTGGCAGGCGTCCCACATAAAATAGAGGAAGATGGGCACCGATGTTACCTCAGGGCCAATCTTCCTTAGCAGAAAGAGGCGGATTGGCCACAGATGTTAGCTCAGGGCTGGTCTTCCTTGCAAAATAAATATATAAATAAATAAACAAACAAGGGAAATTAATAATGTGTTTAACCCAATATACCCAAAATATCATTTCAACATGTAATCAATATAAAAAATTATTACATATTTTACTTTCTTTGATACTAAATATTAAAAATCAGATAAGTATTTTATACTTATAGCACACCTCACTGTGGACTGCCCACTTTTCCAGTGCTCAGTAGCCACATGTAGTTAGTGGCTGCTGTATTGGACAGCACAGGTCTAGACGGAACCGGCATGAAGAACCAACTCGCCATGTCGGCAACTAAATGGACACTGAATATTAGAATTATGAATGGTTTTATTCTTACAAAAATATTTAGAAGATTGAAATTTTCAAAAATATGTTAACATTTTCAGACTTTAAATAATTTTGATTTAAAATATTGTGTTCATTAATTATAATTCATATTTTGACTTTAATATTAATAATTTTGTATATTTTAGAAAAAACTAACTTTGAAATTATATCTGCAAATTACCTTTTTTTGGATTTGCTCTTAATTTTGATGAAAATATATTCTAAGTTTGTACACTTTCAATATAATTACATTTTACTTTTTAATCCCTAGATTATTGAAAATGAGTGTAAGTCAAGATTTTGGTAGAAAAAGAATACTTAAGAGGAACTCATGAAAGGAAAAAAACACTGAAAGGAAAAAAGAAGCAAAAAATCTTCAAAGAAATGGTCTTCTTGCATTTTTAAAAACAAAACAGTAAAAGTAAGCAGTCTCCTTCCAGGATGACTCACATAAAATTCACAAACAGGATATTACAAATTACTTGTTCAGTGAAGATTTAATTATTTATCACAACAGTGAAAATTGGTGAGAATATTACTCTTGCCAAATCCACAACTTGAACAGTTCAGATGAAATCTCTGCAACTTCATGTTCTTTAGTAAAGGAAGATTTCATTGCGAGTCACAAGGAATCACACACGCAGTTACTAGAATTGGGGGAAAGACTGAATAAACAGCAAATGATAATACCAGAAAAAGACAAAGCTGGAAAACATCGATGTACTGTTCTTGAAAGAATAATATAATATTTCCGATGGTTGGGCAAGCCTAATGATGCTTTTCATGGCACTACCAACACAATGTTTACAAAAAACAATGGAAAATTTCTAGGTTTAGTAAAAAGTATTTCAAAATTTGGTAAAATGCCGAACATGTAATTAGGACAAAAAATATTGAAGCTAATGACCACTATCTAGGATAGAGAATTCAAACAGATTAATTTAATGGATAATAAAGCGAGAGATGAAATCATATATAAAATTCTTTTAAAAAAATACTCAGTTCAGCTAGAATGTACCATGGTCAGAAGGCATGTTGAAAAACTAACATTTAAAAGACTGTCGAAGGCAAGCCTGTGATAATGGAGCTAACGTGGTTGGTAAATAAAAGGCATACAAGCACGAAGTTTGGCCAAGAATCCAGAAGTGTTCTGTGTGATGAACAGCTCACAGTTTGAATTTGTTTCTAGGACACAGGCCCTCCGCTGTGCCAACAGTGATGATGTTGTGGGACAGTAGAGGATCCGGTACACGATTTTCTAGATACGCCCAAGTATGGAACAGCTTGATTAAACTCATACCGGACCTTATAACAAATCTCAGACCTGTGGTGGGAGTACCAACTAAATGCTGTTCAAGTACTTAAATTGAATTTAGATACAAAGAGTTAAGCAAAACCACAGAATATCCTCAAAGAGCAGTCATGGGCTTTAACAGGAAGTGAAAGTAATTTTGAATTTGCGCTATCTGCAGTAATGTAGTATGAACTGTTAATTTCTGTTGATAAGCTTAACAAAAGCTTTGAAAAAGTGTGTTTGGCTATTTCACTTTTTAAAGGATTAATATTCTTTTTTTTTTTGTGAGGAAGATCAGCCCTGAGCTAATATGCATGCTAATCCTCCTCTATTTGCTGAGGAAGACGGCTCTGCGCTAACATCTATTGCCAATCCTCCTCCTTTTTTTCTCCCAAAGCCCCAGTAGATAGTTGTACATCATAGTTGCACATCCTTCTAGTTGCTGTATGTGGGACGCAGCCTCAGCATGGCTGGAGAAGTGGTGCGTCGGTGCACGCCCGGGGTCCGAACACGGGCTGCCAGTAGTGGAGTGCGCGCACTTAACCACTAAGCCATGGGGCAGGCCCAGATTAATATTCTTTTTAAAGTTTAGAAAAACAAAAGCAAAAATGCATGTGAAATACACAAGAAAAATGACATTCCAGTAAAATATAAGGAAATTGAAACAAGAAAACAAATATTTGCCTAATCTGAAGGAGAAGATTCATGTACAAATAATTACGAAACCAATTTCTGGTAGAGGCTGTTTTTCTCTTCATTATAAATCAAAGCATAGTGCCGTTTGAAGAGAGATTTGAACAAAATCCAACAAGTGCTATTTTCAGTTTTCTTTATAATATACCAGCATTGAAATTTGAAAGGAGAACCTAAGATATTCTGCATGGATCTAAATACTGCTTAAGAGATGATGAAAGTGACTATAATAAGCAATTGTGACTTACATAATCAAATTAAAATAATTAGTAATATCATCTAAGGTAATTTATCATAGTAATTAAATTGTCATCATTGGTAGTTTGTCAGCTTTCAGTCATATGAACACTATAGTACGTTTATCACACTAAGAGGATAGAACATATTTATAACTTCTCAATATAAAACATTTGGTGTGTGGGTCTCCATTTTTAACCCTTTGGAAATGTTAGGGGTGGACCCCTTTCCTTATCTGACACACGAGAAGGATGTCGTTATCACTTTAATTTGCTTTTCCCTGACTACTAACAAGTTTGAGCATTTTCCATTTATGGCCCATTGCTTTCTATGAATTTGCCTATTTTTGTCCTATGATCATTTTTTCTCTTTAGTTGTTTCATTCCCTGTCAGTCCTAAAGCTATCTTCTCTGTTAAGAAATTTTTCGAAATCTGTTGTTTTTAGTCTTGCTTGTGGTATTTTTGCCATATAAAAGTTTTAATTTTTTTAAATCAAATACATAGCCTACCTCTTCTTGTAGAGTTTGTAAGACCAGAAACTTAGAAGGTAGCCCCCACCCTGAGACATATAGTCACCTACATTTTCTTGAAGAATTTTGTTCTATGTTTTATAATTAGGTCGTTAGCTATTGGGAGTTGATTTTTGTGTATGATGGAAGATAGGGTTCCTGTTCCTTCTAAACAGAATGCCAGATTTCTCTTTCTAGCCCCTTGAATGCCAGGCTACCTCTAGCTGCGATTCAGTTTCTCTGTGTGATTGCCTGAAAGGTACCTCAGGCTTCTGTCCCAAACTGAACTCTTTCTCCACCTGTTCCCCTCCACGCACACCAAGAACAAAACAAAAATCTGTTCCTAGTAGTCTTCTGCATTTCAGTAAATGGTCCTGGCATCCTTTCAGTTCCTGAGGTCAGAAGCCTTAGAGTTGTTTGTGATTTCTCTCTCTCACATCCAGTCCACCTGCAAATTCTGTCAACTTGACCTTCAAAATGTCCCAAGTCCAGCCTACTTCTCACCCTCTCCACTGGGTCCACCCTAACACAAACCACCGTCTCTTCAAGCCTCGTAACATCTCTATCTCCACTGTTGTCTCCTTCAGTCAACACAATAGTGAGAATAATTATCTTACGATAAATTTTTTGTAGAAGTACAGCATATATGCAGAAATGCATAAATCATGTGTGTACTCCTTGATGAGTTTTCACAGTGGACACACCCATGTAATCAGCACCCAGATCAAGAAATAGAACATTGCCAGAAGCTGCCCGTCATGCCCCCTTCCATTCACTAGCCTCCCCCCAAGTAACCACTTACCTGACTGCTAACACCGTGGATTGGTGTTGCCTGTTTGTTAACTTGATTTAAATGGAATCATAGTCTGTGCTTTTTTGGGGTCCCTTTTCTCATCATTATATTTCTGAGATTCATCCGTTTGTTGCACATAGCAATGGTTCATTCTCATTGCACTGTATCCCATTTCATGAATATCTTGCAATTTATTTACTCAACCTTTGGTGAACATTTGTGTTATTTTTAGTTTGCTGTTATTTACCAATAGTACTGCTGTGAACATTTTTGGGTGAACATATCTCCATGTTTCTGTTAGAAGGAACTGGAACTTAAGAACAGAAACTGGAATTTAATTTTGAGAATGAAAGGGACATTATTAATTAAGCCAGGACAACAGGCATAAATCAGGACTGTCCTGGGTAACCAGGATGGATGGTCACCCACCTGTCAGAGCCTTCTAGCAGTGATCTGGCTGCTCACTGCCCATCTGACCCTCCTACACTCTCCCTCGCCTTATTTCTCCACCCACGGTGGCCTTCTTGAAATTCCATGAACTTGGCAAGCATGTTCCTGCTTTGGGAACATTCTTCCCTGGCAGTCGGCATGGCTTGCCCCTCACTTCCTTCAGAGAGGCCCTATATAAAACAGCACCTCCCCACCATGACTCTCCCCATAATCTGCTGTAGTCTTTTAGTTTTTATTGCTATTTGATTAAACCTGAAATTTTTATTGCCCTGTTATCCTCTGCCCCAAATGCAAGCTGCACAGGAGAAGGGACTTTGTCCATTGAGTTCACTGCTGTGTCCCTGCACTTACAACGGTGCCTGGAATATAGCTCATTATAGAATCCAGGTTGGGGGTATATGACTGTTAGTGTACAATTTCTTCTACTTTTTCACTTGAAAATTTATAATAAAATGTTACAGAAAAAATGAACATTTCATCTTTACAGCAAGCCCCGTGAAACAGTCAAAGGGGGGGTCTGTGGACAGGCAGCATCGGCGTCTCCTGGGAGGTTGTCAGGAATGCAGGGTCTTGGGTCCCACCCTGTACCTACCGACTCAGGACCTCTGGGGGAGGCCGGGGAGCCAGGGGGTTCTCATGCACACTCAAGGTTGAGGTGTGCTCAATTATTTTCTCACCATTTTATAGACGGGGAAAGTGAGACAGAGAATAAAACTTGAGTCAGTTACACAGCTGGAAAATGATGGTGCTGGGAATGGATGTACTCTTGAAGTCGGGGCCTGACAGAGTGTCTAGCAATCTCACTGACGTGGAGTAGAAAGCAAACAGACTTGCTTTGCCATTTCTGTGAGTCGGGAATGTTGGAATCAAAATGTGTCCCATTTTCCATTAACATACAATGTGGGAATTTGAGTGGTGTTAAGCTACATTGTTATCTGTGGGAGTGTTTCTTATCTCTGTTTATTTTTGCCAGAAACTTGGGAACTGTGGGTGCTGTGGCCTTGGACTGCAAAGGAGACGTGGCTTATGCAACCTCTACAGGGGGCATCGTTAATAAAATGGCTGGCCGAGTAGGGGACACACCATGTATAGGTGGGCTTCATGGATGACTACTGCCCCCTCTTCCTTCCCCCGCCCTCAAGTTCTCATCCTCTGTTCTCCGCCCCCTCTCCTTTTCTTTCTTCATTTCCCTCCTCCTCTTGGTGGCAGCTTCAGAATTTCTGGGAGTGGCAATTGGGCTGGAAGGAGTTGTTCAGGGCTCTCCTTTGAGAGGGCATTTGTAGTTGGCTCTCTGTTTCTCCTAGATTGCATGTCTTTGGGATGGCCTGGGAGGGAGATGGAGATGGGGAATGCTAAAATCACCCCCACACTACCCCATAGTGCCCCTTTCTTCTCTCTAGTCCCTGTGTCAGCATCTGCAGACTTATTCCCAAAGGACTAAGTAAGTACGCAAAACCTCTTCCCAGGCCTGAGCTCAAATTAATGAACGAAGAAAACTGAGAATTTAAATTGCAGTTTTTATATTTGAGTGCCATGAAAGTGACATACTGATATTATAGAGATATTACAGATCGCAGTGTTCTTTGCATTAACATTGAAGCACATTATCTAATTCCCAGGAGTGGGTGAGTGGGGGGTGTATGTGTTCCACCCTGTGCCGGCTGGGTAGATATGCTTTGGGGCAAAGGAAGAGCTGTCCTGCTGTAGTTGCTGCATGAAAGGTCAGGCCTCCCACCCCCGAGGTTCCCTTCATCCTGATTGCAGGGTAGTCACATGGCGCTTACTGGTCCCCCTGTGCATTGCAAGTGATGGCTGCTAATCTCATCTTCATCTACACTTTGGCACTCTTTGGGATTTAATAGGGATGTAGCATTAGATTGTGGTATGTGTTTGAATTTCTTGACTGTTGATGCTCAGTTAGAACCAGTCACCTTCTTTGAGCAGGATCTGGAGGTTATGCTGACAATGACATTGGAGCCATTTCAACGACGGGGCATGGGGAAAGCATCATGAAGGTGAATCTGGCCAGACTTGCTCTCTTCCACGTAGAACAAGGTACGTAGAAGAAGTTCATACGGTCTGAAGATGTGTAAAGAGAAGCTGTTTGTAAATAGATGGAGAAGTATATGAAGCCCTTTCTTGTTTGCTGTAGATGTTGCTTTCAGGTTAACACTATTTTCAGGTTAACACTGTTCTGACTCCTTCCCATCTTCTGTTAGGATCTGGAAAGAAGAGCATTTACAATACCGTTTGTCAGCCCACCAACTGGGAGAAGATATTTGCAAATCATATATCTGATAAGGGGTTAATATCCAAAATATATGAAGAACTCATACAACTCAACAACAAAAAAACAACAATCCAATCAACAAATGGGCAGAGGATGCAAATAGAATACCGTTTGTCTTGTGTGTCTTGGGAGAAGGATCAGTAGAGAAGCTGTGAGCCTGGGTCTGGGAGACAGGGCAGCTCTGCTCAGGCTGGTGTTAGGGCTCCATCTCAGTGCAAGGAGGGCCTGTTATGCTGAACTTCCTTCTTTGAAGCATTCAAACAGAAATTATTTACCATGATCTTTATTATTCACTTTGGTTTTTCATACTGCAAATGGTTTTCCCATCAGATTCCTTTCAATAACGTGTTGTTTCTCCCCCTTTCCTTGTTTTCAGGAAAGACATTAGAAGAGGCTGCTGACATTTCCTTGGGTTATATGAAGTCAAGGCTCAAAGGTTTAGGGGGCGTCATCTTAGTCAGCAAAGCAGGAGACTGGGCAGTAAAGTGGACTTCTGCATCCATGCCCTGGGCGGCTGTCAAGGATGGCAAGCTGCACTGCGGAATTGATCTTGATGACACCTGTATCACTGACCTGCCCTAAGCCCCTGGAAGATTGTATTCTAGATGCTAGCTTGGAGGTAAAGTACAGTTGCCTGGTGCGGAGACTTAGCTTAATCAATTAGATCTAGAAATGGAAAAATTCTGCAGTCTGTCACTCCTTTTGTTGCCTTGATCAATAAGTATATGTGGAAGATAAACAAACGCATGGATAAGGAGAATAGATTAGTGGTTGCCGGAGGAGAAGGGGGTGGGGGGAGGGCGAAAGGGGTAAAGGGGCGCATATGTATGGTGATGGATAAATACTGGACTGTTGGTGGTGAACATGATGCAGTTTATACAGAAACTGAAATATAATGATGTACTCCTGAAATTTACATAATGTAAGCCAATATGACCCCAATAAAATAAAATTAAACAAAAATAAGTATCTGAGTGTTTGGTTGAGGGGCGGATTCTGAACTGATGAGGGAAATGCCTGTATTAAGGTCAAAGTAAGACTAGTGAGGGTGACAAACCCTGCTGAGCCTTCCTCGTGAACAGTCCCCTTATCTTAGGTTAGGAAGAAGAAACAACCTGATGCTAACACGACAGGAATGGCCTCAGTGCGGGGAGCCTTTGGAAGTGGGAGACCCACAGCGGCGACAGAAGCTGCAGCCTGAAAGCCGTGGGGGATCCGGAGGAGACCGACTGCCCGGGCTCTCTTGGTTGAGACTTCCCCCCAGGACCAGGGAAGGGGCAAGGAGGAGGGAAGGGCCTGGTGGAGGTCTGTACAAGTGAGACAGGAGCAGCCCCAGAGCTAATAGAGAAGTCCAGGTGAACCGCAGTGCGTCGCAGAGTTCATTTAGAGTCAGACATCAGGTGAAAGAATCTGTGAGAGGGTAAACGGACTTTTCTAAGGAAGTTCAGATCTTCTCTGACTTACTAACATGGACATGTTTACAGACACTTTAAAAGGACCCTCTGGTAACCTGTAGCTCCCTAGACTGGAGATGAAGGGCCACAGTGGAGACTCTGTGGCACCTCTTCAAGTCTGAGGGTTTTCCTGGGCTCACACATGAGTTGGCCAACCTACTGTCTTCCCACCAGCCGGGACAGCTGACCGGAGCCTCCACCTGCCACGGGGCCTCTGGGTCATCATAGTGAGCAACGGGGCTCACGACTCCTGTGACAGGGCTGGAAGATCCATGTAGAGATGACACCGTGACTTAATAAGTTCTCATACTGTCCAGTGCTGTGGGGTCCTTCCCACAACTGAATCAGGTCTGTCTACAGTGTGGTCAGCCGTGACATTTGGGGACTGTCTTGACCTCTTGGGCTCTACACTGCAGCCTAGAGGCTCTGCCGGCACACTGTGACCCCTGGGTCTTGGGCCCTGGGCTGGGAGGTTGCAGAGTTGGTCTAGCTGGCCACCACCCTGCCTGTCCCTCCCCACACTCCCCGTGGTTTGAGTGGTTAAGGTGAGGAACGCATGTGGATTCATTCACTCTTTGGGGTTGAGGGCTGGGTGAGCTGAGCGTAGATGGTGGTGCTGTGGGAGAGGGTGCAGGCTCCAAGCAGACTCGGGCAGAGCCGGGAGCCTGGCCTGCTTTCCTGGACGTCCCCTGGCCTGGCATTAACTCTTGGCTTTTTCCTTGTCTCACTCTTCCACAGTGCAGCTTCGTTGTGAGTAAAGCCTTTTCCTGTCCCGGTAACCCAGCTCCACCTAGCACTTCCCTGCTGTCGCCCTGTCCCTGCAAAACTGACACCTGTAGAAGCACTAACCTCGTCAGCAGGAGTGTTAAGGGGGATGGGAGGTGAGAGGTGAGCCAGGGGCACTGAGTGGCTGGCTGGAGGCGTCCAGAAGTCCTGGAGCCGGGCCTCCTCCCTCTGCAGAGCCAGCCCTCTCTGCCCTTGACTCTGCTCCTAAGAGGATGAGTCGCAGAGCCTCCCTGAGGCAGGAGGAAGCCAAGCAAAGAGGCTATGACCTACAGCTGGTCACCAGGGCCACAGTGTGAGGTGTTCCCCACAGCCACCTCCCTCCCTGCTCCCCAGGATCGGGCTCCCCCTCAGGGTCTGAGGCTGCAAAGAGAACAGACAAGTTGTCTCCATTCCCCAGAGCCACTGAGATTTATTGTGTCACAGACCTGAGCTCCTGCCTTGAGCGGGCGGAGCAATGGGGGAAACCGTGGGTGAAGGCTGAGTCTTGCCGGGTGGTGGTGGAACTGTCAATGGCGGCCTCTGGAAAGAAGGCCACAGAAGCTGTTCTCTTCTCAGATACCTCAGAGCTGAGCTGGGCCACCAGCCGTGAGCAAGGAGCCCCGGAGAGCTGGGGTCTCCAGGGTTCTAAGGCTGCAGCCCCTTCATTCCTTTGGTCCCCGTTGCCGCTTTGAAGGGCCTCCTTCTAGGAGGGCTTCTGTATCCAGTCTAGGGCCTGAGTAGCACTGCCACGGGGCTTGGCAGGTCAAGGGGTTCCCAGCAGCCAGACAGGTGGACCCTGAACTTGTCTCTCCTGCAAGGAGGCTGGTCCCCTCGGGGTGGATGAGGTGACGGCATGCCTTCCAATATGCCAGCAAGCAGGCTGTGTGGCTTTACGTGCCTGTTTTCGTGCCAGGTCCCTGCTAGGCAACTGGGCCTGCAGCAAAGAAGCAGACTCCGATTTGTTCCTCCTACAGAGAACTCCCATGCCCCACCCGGACTGATAGGAGCCTTGCAGGGCTCATGGGGATGACCGAGAGGTCCAGCAAGCTGCCCTTTCCTGCGTGGGGAGTCCACGCCCTTGTACGGGGTCTGAGCTGAGCTTCGAGCTGGGGAGGCCTGATCTGGTGCAGGAGCTGCTTTGATGAGTGGGGCTGGCGTAGGGGAAGGGAGAGCATACACACAGGGTCTCTAACACCCATGCTGGCTGTGGGGTCCCAGGAGGAGCAGCAGCGCCTGGCTGAGCAGCGGCTGCAGGAGGAGCGGGAGAAGAAAGCCAAGGAGGCGGCGGCGGCGGCCAGCAAAAGCCTGAACGTGACCGTGGACGTGCAGGTGAGACCCGGGCACCAGAGCGGAGGGGGCCCCCCAGCGCTGATTGTTCTCCTCCCAGTAGCTGGAGGCACAGGGTATATATATGTGTATATGTGTTTGTGTGTATAGGACCATATATATTACAAGAAAAGGAAGGGTTCAGTTGGTCCAATTGTTTTTACTATTTTTGATATGTATATTCTTTCTTATTCTAAAAGAATTTGTTGTAAAAAACAAACCCAAAACTTTACGAAAGAGTATAAAGTAATAGAAAGGTACCCTCAGAGGAAAACTCTAAATCCGGTGTATAGCTTTCTATATTTTTACACACGTAAACGTTTTATACACACACACACATAGTTTTAAATGGGCACAGACTCTACGTACTGTCTTTGTCTGTTCGGGCCGCTATGACAAACTACCACAGACTGGGTGGCTTAAACAACACTTATTTTCTCACAGTCTGGAGTCTGGGAAGTCCAAGATCAAGGCGCCAGCAGATTCAGTGCCTGTCGAGAGCCATCTTCCAGATTCCATAGATGTCCGTGTGTTCTCACGTGTTGGAACAGGAGAGGGAGCTCCCTGGGGTCTCTTTTCTGAGGGCACTAGTCCCATTCATGAGGGCTCCGCCCCCGTGACCTAAGCACCTCCCGAAGGCCTCACCTCTACATTTTGGCGGGATACAAACATTTATATACCATAACGCATACCATTTGGCAGCTTGGTTTTTTTCCTCCCTTTTTTTGCTTTCATTTAGTATATGGTAGACATCTGTGTGTCTCAGCACTTGTAGATCTCTTATTTTTGACTGCTGTGTACAGTTACTTGTACCAGAAGTTCTTTAACCAGTCCCTGTCGACAAGCATTTGGACTATTTCCAGTTTAATGCTGTTACAGAGTGTAGGACAGTCTTGTGTTGCTTAACGACAGGATGTGTTCTGAGAAATGGTCGTTTGGCGATTTTGTTGTTGTGTGAACGTCATAGAGTTTACTTACACGTGCTTAGATGGTACAGCCTGCTACACACGTAGGCTGTATGGTACTGATCTTATGAGACCACCATCACATGTGTGGTCCGTTGTTGACCGAAACATGGTTACGTGGTGCGTGAGTGTGAGGAAGGGTTTTCACTGCACCGTAGATTAAGATGTTGAAAGCTTGGAAGTGAGCTGAAGGTTCATCTATAACAGATGTTTAAATTACAATCGTGGAGTACCCAGAACCCTTGAGCTGTTCAAAGGAGACACTGATACACTGACCTGGAGGAATGTTTGCAGCATACTTTACCATGAGAAGGGAAGATACAGAGTCGTGTATGTGGTGTGACTTTTTTACATTAAAAAGTGACCTATGGGGGCCAGCCCGGTGGCGCAAGCGGTTAAGTGCGCACGTTCCGCTGCGGCGGCCCGGGGTTTGCCGGTTCGGATCCCGGGTGCGCACCGACGCACCGCTTGTTAAGCCATGCTGTGGTGGCGTCCCATATAAAAAGTAGAGGAAGATGGGCATGGATGTTAGCCCAGGGCCAGTCTTCCTCAGCAAAAAAGAGGAGGATTGGCATTGGATGTTAGCTCAGGGCTGGTCCTCCTCACAAAAAAAAAAAAAAAGTGACCTATGAACTATTTTATTTTTCCCGTGAAATGAGGGAGGTGACCAGAGCCCCAGCACTCTTCAGTGGTAAGAGGTGAGGAGTGCAGGAGAGGGGGAGCTGACGGCCATGTTTGTGTTTTCCAGTCTCCAGCTTGTACCTCGTATCAAATGACTCCACAAGGGCACAGGGCGCCCCCCAAGATCAACCCAGATAACTACAGGATGGATCTGAACAGCGATGACTCCACTGATGATGAGGCTCATCCCTGGAAGCCCATCCTTACCTGGGCCAGAGGTAAACAGGGCCCAGAGCCCTCCAGAAGACTTGGGTCCTCACCTTTGATTTCTTGGGTCCTGGAGGGAGTGGCCCAGTCGCTGCAGGTGTCGGGAGGCTGTGGTACCTGTGGGCTGTCAGCTTGACGTGCTGGCCCAACAAGGCTGCATTGTGCCTTGGATGTGCCCAGGGATGTTTGGGCACCCAGTGGCCAGGGGGCTCATCTGAGGACCAGGTCTATGAGGTTGGGCGCCTTTGTTCTCAACAAACGTATTCAATTGCGGCTGGCCGCGGGCAGGCGTGGTGCTGGGTGTTCTGGCTCAGGCTCTGGGCCCCTCCTTGGAGTCCCGCCCAACAGGCCAGATGAGACTCGGACCCAAAACGCCCTGGGGTGGGAATAGAGCTAAGAGTGGTAATGGGGTTCAGGCAGCTGGGAGAGCTGGAGCTGGGGGTTCCAGCCAGTGGGGAAGGCAGGAAAGCCCTGAGGCCTGGGTGGGGGCTCTTGAGCAGGATTTGACCCTGGGGTCTACGGACCCCAGCATTTAAACAGGGTGAGCGTGACCGTGCTGCCTAAGGCCTGGGTGCAAAGCCTGCCCGAGCAGGGGCCAGTGCACGCAGTGGGTGCTTCACAGAGTTTGCTGAGACAGGGGTCAGGGTGGGGTGCAGGCTCACTCCCCAGAGGGAAGGCCCAGAACCCCACAGGGGCTCACCTCTCCACAGAAGACAACTTGCTCTTGTGAGTTTCTCCTCATTTGAACCCACAGTAACCGGAATCTGACTTAGTCTCCTTAACTACCTGCATCAAGTCATTTGGGAGGTGGCAGCAGGCAGAGGTCAGCATGGCCAGGGAGCCAGACGGCCGGCAAGCCACCTTAATTGTGGTTGACCTTCGCCAGCTTACTTAAACTCTCTCTGTTGTCTCATCTGTGAAATGGGGTGACAATAGGACCCAGCTGAGAAGGGTCATTGAGGATGAAGTGAGTTAGTGTAGGAACGCCTGGTGCAGAGTGAGCGCTGTGTGCACGTTCTGCCTCCTGATCCCTGAGGGTCCTCCTCAGCCTCGTCGGCCAGGCTGTGCCCCACCCACAGCCTCAGCCCAGAGGCCGCCTCAGCCTGCACCCTGCCCCGTGGGGGCTGTGGGCTGAGGAGATAAACAGCTGACCGAGCAGTTGAGGCCAACCTCATCAGTTGAGTTCTGGCGCTAGACTTGTCTTCACACCCCGGCTCTGCCGTTACTAGTGTGTGCCTTTGGGCAAATCTCAGCGCTTATAAAACGGGGAGAATAAAGGACCTGCCTCCCGGGTGGTTGAGGTCGTGCAGCGAGGGCTCAGCCGAGTGCCTGGCCCATGTGAGCTCCTGAGGACCTGTGTTCAGGCTAGGCTGCCAGAGGATGGCAGTAGGACTGGGCAGTAAGAGCATTGTCAGTGTTTGGTGCTGGGGTGGGAGGAGGAGGGCTCTGAGAGGAGCTGATGTGGCAGGAGGTGGGGCATGCTGGGGTGGAGAGGGTGACAAGGGCTCTGTGGGTGGGGTGGGGTCTGGGGAGGCTCATGGAGAGCCCTAAGGCAGTGACCCCGCCCTCCGTGTTCCCCTGCAGGCACCCAGCTCAGCCAGGCCATCATCCACCAGTACTACAACCCCCCGAACCTTCTCGAGCTCTTTGGAACCATTCTCCCGCTGGACTTGGAAGACATCTTCAAGAAGAGCAAGCCCCGCTACCACAAGCGCACAAGCTCTGCCGTCTGGAACTCGCCACCCCTGCAGGGCACCAGGGTCCCCAGCAGCCTGGCCTACAGCCTGAAGAAGCACTGAGGCTGGCCCACCAGCCTTCTCGGCAGTCTCAGCCCGTCTGTGTCTGTCTGTCCGTCTCTCTGTTGGTCTGGTGCCCTCCTGCCTGGTCTTCTATTGCCAAGGGTTTGGTCATGTGTATAAATGTCCTCTGTGTGCTGCAGTGGAAAGTGGCCCAGGCCTGTTCGGAGGCTGCATTTGGTGGGGGTTTGTGGGAGAACCAGGCCCAGCCCCGCCTGGCCCGCAGGCAGCACTCTGTAAATAGATGGTTATAATTCAGCTGAATTTTAGCCTCTAGTGTTTGAGAGGTAGATTAATAAAGTCTATTCCTTCAAACCTGCTGTGGGTATCGTGAAGACTAGGGGCCTCAGCAGATGCTCCGGACCCTGGCCCTGCAGCCATGTGTCTCGGGCCCCTGCATGGGCTGGAGGACCAAGGCACTGTTCCTCCTCCTGGGTGTGCTCCAAGGTCACCTGAGTCCCACCCCCAGAGATCTGATGCAGTGGGTGATTCTGATGCCTGAGAAGCACTTCAGTTCCTTTCACGATGGGGCAGGTGAAGATACTTCCTTTTCTCTGGGGAGCTCCCTGTTTGTAAAGGGGCGCTTGTTTACTGGGAAAGACCTGGGATTGAAGTCAGGAGGCCTGGGCTCTTGGCACAGCTCTGCCACTTAAGACAGTCCCTCAGCTCCTCTGCGCCTCAGGCTCCACCCTTGCTGCAGGGACCGTGAAAGGACTTGAGAATGAGATGTGTTGACGTGGGAGGTCTGATTAGAAAGCGAATGTCTCTTGAAACTGCCTTGGGGCCAGTGCTTGAAGCAGTCGAGATGTTTCTCCATCAAAACCAGGCAGCTGCTAAAGAAATGCTTAGTGCCAGTGGAAGCTGGCCCTGGTTCTGCCCGCTAGCTGCCAGCTGTGGTCCAAATGTGCGACGGCTGGCTCCTTATCTGCTGCTCCAGCCCCTGGAACAGGGGTTGGCAAACTAGGGCCTGTGGACCAAATCAAACTGCAGTCAGTATTTTGTCAAATTTTATTGGAACCCACCCAATAGAAACAAATGCCTGTTGTCTCTAGCTGCTCTGCTGGGGGCAGAGCTGAGAAGTTGCAACAGAGGCCTTATGGCCCACCACGCTGAAAATACTTATTATGGCCCTTTACAGAAGGTTTGCTGACCCCTGCTTTAGGACAAAATAAAGGCTAAATATAAGAGGGCTTTAAAAAATGGGGAAATAGTGACACACACAATAGGTTGAAATCTAGAGGATTCCACCCATGCAAAGAAAAACATTTTATACAGTTCATTCTAATATGGTGCACAATTCAAATTTATTCTGTATGTTCTCTGACTAGAAACTGTTGAGTCAACTGGTGTCTTTGCCTAAAGCCACAATGTCAAAATATTACTTCTTGTAAGCATATTAATATAGTGTGAGAAAAAGTTGTTATTCAGCATAAAAGTACAGTTGCTCTGCATCTTTGTCAGCACTTGGTATTGTCAGCATTTCTAATTTTAGCCATTCTAATAGATGTGTAGTGAAACCTCATGATTTTAATTTTCATTTCCCGAATGGCTGGTGATGGTGAACATCTTTGTGTGTACTCATTTGCCATCTGTGTATCTTTGGTGAAGTGTCTGTTCAAATCTTTTGTTTATTTTTAAATTGGGTTGTTTGTTTTCTTACTGTTGAGCTTAAGAATCTGTATGTATGATGGACACAAATCTGTTGTCAGATACGTCCTTTGCAGTGTGTTCTCCTTGTCTACAGCTTGTCTCTTCATTCACTTGAGTGTTTTTCATAGAGCAACATTTAAATTTTGGTGAAGTCCAATTTATCAGGTTTTTTTCTTTTATGGATTATGCTTTTTGGTGTCATGTCTAAGAGATCTTTGTCTAGCCCCAGGTCTCAAAGATTTTTCTCCTATATTTTCTTCTAAATGTTTTACAGTTTTACATATTATATTTACATATTATATTTAGATTTATGATCTATTTTGAGTTAATTGCTTTTAAAGTGTGAGGTTTACATTTTTTGTTTATTTGGTTTTGGGGGCATATGGATGGATGTCCAGTTGTTCCAGGACCATTTGCACAATCAGAAATCGAAATCAAAAAACAGTGCAATTTACAATAATGTCCAAAATTATAAAAGTCTTAGGAGTAAGTTTGACAAAAGATGTGAAGGATCTGTGCAGTAAAACCTATAAAACATTGCTGAGAGAAATTAAGTTAATGAAGACCTAACTGGGATATGTTCAGTGTTCATGGAGTAGAAACTCAATATTCTTAAGATGTCCATTTCCTCCAAACTGGTCTGTAGATACATTACAATTGCAACCAAAGTCCAAAAAGACTTGTTTTGGTAGAAGTTTATGAAAAACCTGGTTTCAAAATATAACTGCAAAGGACCTACTATAGCCAAAACAACTTTGAAAAATAAGAACAAATTTGGAGCGGCTATGCTACACAACTTCAAGCCTTATTACAAAGCTACAGAAGCCAGGATAGTATGGTATTGGTGTAAAGACAGACAGATAGATCTGTGGAACTATATAGAGTCTGGAAAAGGACTACATATATATAGTCACTAGGTTTTTGACAAAAGTGGAAAGGCAATTTCGTATAGGAAGGATAATTTTTTCAATAAATCGTCTTGGAACAATTGGATATATTAAAAAATCTCTGATCCTTCCTCACACCATATATCAGATTAATTCATGATGGATCATAGGCCTAAATGTAAAAGCTAAAAATATAAAACTTCTAGAAGAAAGTGAGACAAAATCTTAGCGTCTCTGTGTTTGGCACAGATTTCTTACACATGGCATGAAAAGTATGAACTATAAAAGAAAAAGTCAATCAGTTGGATTGGTATAAAAGAAAAAGTCAATCAAAATTTAAAACTTTTTGCTTTTTAAAAGTCACTGTAATTCAGCATCTTCTCCCTTTCCCCTCAGCCAAGAGTGGGATGGTACAGATAACCTATCTTACCATGTTCCCAGGAAGAGAACTGGGAATGATCCCCACCACCTGGTTGGAGTGAAGATGAATGAAACAGGTTCCTCTAGGCCCTCTCTTGCTTCGGTGTGACCCATCCATGAATGCCAACCCCACACCCTTGCCTACCTGACACTTTTCCTCTTGTCAGGCCCTTGTCAGCCTTACCTGCCCCATGAGGCTCTCCTGTCTCCCTCGGGTAGACTAAGGCACAGCTGCTTTCTGGATCCATCTGGGCTTGTGCTCCATCTGGGCTTGTGCCCAAGCCAGGAGCCATGGGCATCCCCTGCAGCTTAGTCTTCTGAGCAACAGTGAATGCTGGGTAAGCTCTGCTTGGGCAAGAGCCATGCAGCCTCTGCTCCTCTGGGCTTCCATGATGCAAGCGTTCCTCCAGAAGGTTTAGGAAAGAAGGAAGAGCAGGTGTGAGAAGGGAAGCCAGCTGTCACCTGTATTAAAAAGCTTTGCAAACTCTACCCAGATCTCAGGTCATTGTCCTGTCTGAGCCGCTTGGAGCTCAACTCTGAGGTTCCCTTGGGCATCTGTAGGACTGAATGGCAGCTCCTAGAACTATAGAATCTCAGCTCCTCGAGGCCTGAGGCACCAGCTTTGTGTTCCTTAGTGAGGAATACAACCTCATTTGCCCCCAACCAGCAAAGTACAAAATAACTTACATGGCCAACCCCAAACAAATCCCAACTTTCCAAAGCAATCTCCCCAGCGTGCTGGAAGGAGGATGGGAACTCATTTTCTTGTAATGGGGAGCTTTTAAACTGCTTTAAAATAGTCACACTTTCATTTCGTAGTTGCCTTGATTGCAATTTAATAAACCTGAAAAAGTGGACATGAAGGCTGACACTTTCATTCAGATTTAGTTGCCTAAATCCATGAACTTTTAATCTTATTTGCCCACAGGTGCGCGCACATACACACCTGCCTACGTTACTTTGTTCTTTAAATATTCCCCATTCCTCTGCTATTAAGATGTAGGAAAGTTGATCATATCACATTAATTTCAGGATAGCCATTCTGGGGCTACATGTCAAGGAAGAGGCGGCGATGACACAGGGGTGCTGTGATATTTCTTTGGATCTCTGTCTCTTGTCCCTGGAGGGATCGGTGGGGGTGGGGAATCCGTCCCAGAGCATCAGAGCAGGCAACTCGAGTGTATATGTGTCTTTGAATTGTGATTTGAGACTAACAGAGGCAGGGCCCTCTGAGGGCTCCTATCACGCTTGCCCCTGGGGTTCTGTGACAGAATAAGTACGGGATTACCTCCTCTGAGGCTCCTGTCACTGCTTCAACTCAGAAACCTCATGGAGGTGCTGGGAGCGGCAGAAAGGGCTGGAAGGGAGCAGTTGGCACTGCAGGAATGGCAGGGAAACACTCCAGCTTAGAAGGCTCCTGCCCCAGGGATCGTGTCCTGTTGGTATTTGCATTTTTGCAATCCCATTGGACTAAATTAATTGAGAGCAGCACTATGGCCACATGCATGCAAGAGAGATGGATAGATTTGAGACGATGCATGGAATTATAAGCTCAGAGAGTGGTGGTAGCTTCATCTGGTCAGCGTTTCATCAGAGATCCCCTCAAGGGCTAAAAAGGACTTGACTTAGTAGCCACTTGGGTAGCCTGGCTTCATCTAGGTGACCACCACATTCCCTGGAGGGACAACTTGTGTGGCCCTCAAATCTCTCCCTCTTACTCCAATGCCCCTTATTCTCCTCAGCCACCATGCCATCCCCTTCCATCCACAGCACCCAGCCCTAGCTGGGTCCACCTCTACAGCGTCCACCTCTGAAGGAGACCCCAGAGGGAAGGAGACTCACCATGAATGCAATTGCAGTGTTTTTATTGAGAGAAGCCAAGAAATGTAATGGTGAGGTGGGTCCAGATTAAGATGGTGGCACTCCCGGGAGTAGGAACGTGTTCCCACTCAGGGGACCTGAGGGGCTCAGGTGGGAAGAGCAATCTCTTTTATGCTACCATCCTCAGGACCAGATGCCTCTGGCCCTTCAACAGTTTTGCCTCAT